CCTGCTTCTTTTCCAGGGCCTGGGTGGCATGATCTCTTAATGCATTTGCCTGTTTACGTTAGCAAAATGGAAAGCAGCTTTGTTTATGGAAAAGATCTATTTTTGTTTTACTTTTTTCCTCTCAACTAAACTGACTTTTATCCAGGATTGTGTTCTGCTTTGGGAAAAGAAATGTGCTGCAATTCTTAGCCCTAGCTTAAAAGTCAGGTCAAGAGGAAAAGGGGAAATCCTGATCATATTATTTAATTTTGTAGGATTACACTGCAGCCTGGAAATCTAAAACAGCAGAAGAGTTAACAACCCCCTCTTCTCTGCAACATCTTGCCCTGGTCCCTGTGCAATGACATTTGCTATTCTCCCACATATATTTAGACAAGCCAGATCAGAAACAAAATCAGTATTTCCATCTTACGGGCAGGGGGACAGTGTGTGGCATCCCAGGGAGTAAGAAGTTTCAGAAGCCATCATGCTCCCCTGAGGATAAATCATGTCACTGTGTGTCTTTCAACTTCTTCAGACTTTGATCTTGTAGGAGATCAAACAGGGTCAGGACATGGATGGTAGATTTTGAATGAAAACCCAGCCAGGCCATTCTGATGTGGAGATGATGTGGTGAGGTGTGGAGCACAGCATGCAGATATCAGATATGAAAAATATGTGTGGATATGTATACTGCCTTATTGCTGAAACATGAAGGGTCCTGCTCTTGACTTGGAAGTTAAACGAAGGTATGGCCAGTCTTCGTCATGAAAGACTACTGAACAGTTTCTGGCAAAAGCTGACACTTAAAGCTTGGACAGAAATTTTAGCTGTAGTGCTGAGCCATAATATAGAATCATAGAATAGTTAGGGTTGGAAAGGACCTTAAGATCATCCAGCTCCAACCCCCCTGTCATGGGAAGGGACATCTCACACGAAACCATGTCACCCAAGACTGTGTCCAACCTGGCCTTGAACACCACCAGGGATGGAGAATTCATATGGACTTTGCCAATTCTCCACATCCTCCTCAAAGAGACGGAGATCAAACTGCTGTTCTGCAAACTGTACTGACCTCTTTGAATGGGTGGTAGAGAGTTGGGGGTTGTATAAATTATGCCCATCACTTTATGACATTTAACAATTTATGGAGAAACCCATATATAACCACATAACTTACCCTTAAAGCTCTGTGACATAGGGAAAGTATTATCCCTCTTTCAATTATGGAGATTTAAATATGTGTGTGTGTGTGTTATGGAAAACAGTGGTAGTATTGTCTACTATGGTTGCCTGACTCTCTACAGTAATATATTTGTATACATGTGTGTGAGTTTGTATAATGCACATATGCATAACTGCATTAAAAAACACTGTGTTAATGCAATGTTATTTTGATTCTGGAGAGCAGTGCTCAAAAATGAAGGAAATTACAGACTTCAGGTGGGCCATGTAACTTCAGTTCAGCCCCACTGTGCAGATGGCTTTATGACAGTCATTTTGAATATAATAACACAGTTTTCAGTCCACATTTTTCCTCTTTCCATTTTCAAAGCCTTGTGCAAATCACGGTACTCGCTGCACCCTTTAGACTAATATCCATAGGTATTTTTAAATACAAGGTCCTTAAGTGACCTAAATGTAAGGGTTTGCTACTACTATCCAGTAATAACACGATACAATAGTCATGGTATGCAATGTTAAGAAGGATAACGAATGAAGATAATAATCCTTAATATGTCATGAGAAATAATAAGGTAGGTAATGAGGTGCCAGTTTTCACATTTAGCTGTGAAATGTTTCTCATACTGACTTGAGAAAAGCCATATAAGGGGATGAAAATGACCATTTCTGTTGATTTATTCTCACTTTGGATGTGTCTTCCTAACATCAAATTTGTGAACTGGAAAGATGGAGTTTAACCATGTTGTGATATGTTTGATGCAGGGAAATCTTTTGAAAAATGCAAAATCGATTGAAGAACAAGGAACAATAAGATATCAGCCAGTTTCTGGCTGATTTCCCATCTGACATTGTAAAAGCATCCAAGACTATTTGTTTAATTTGAAATAGAATAGTGAACCATGCCATTCTGGAACCCCTCCTAGCACATACGCACATACACAGACCCCAGCAACAAGCTCCCTACCCACAGCCATCTGTCATGTGTGCCAGTTGGAGTAAACCACTAATATTACTCAACAAGGAGATCATTATAGTTTCCTCTTCATCTACTGGGCTTTTGGAAAAGATCAGAGTCTTTGGGAATGCGCAGCAGGGAGGACAGGCATTCTGACAGGCATTGCTACATGTCCACATCAAAGTCTATGCATTTCAGTAACAACTATTATTGTTGTCGCTCAGGATAATATACCTTCTTCCTAGAGCGTAGGCCAGCTGTGGGATCAACCTAAAAATGACGGGTAACCAGTCCATGCTGACCTTCTCTGGTCTGTTTCATGACTTTATTTCATTTTCTTTATCTGTAAGTCTGGTTTGAATCATCTGTTTGATTTTAATTTTTCCCAGTTTTCCATGACCACAAGGGAAGTACTCACTGGGTTTTCAAAAGATACTACAGCTTGGTTCCACCATCACACACACCACTCCCTGGTCAGCCCATATTTCATATTTCAGTGGAGCTTCCTGCCCTTGAAACTCCATAAACTTGTTGGGACAGAGATAATTTTATTACAATGGAGTATTCAGCATCCACCACAGTGAGGCCCTGATCACAATTACTGCAATATATTAAACAAAAAATGGCAAAAGTACAGAGAAAAACTCTGGCACACAAACAAATCCTTTCTCTTAACTTCTACCTGAAGCAGATGCCGGTGGTATATTTAATGTGTGGGGCTTCACTGATTTACACCCTTGTAAAAAGCAGTATTCAAAGCTCCTTTTCATGTGCACCTTCCATCTAAGTAAAGGGGACACTGCATATCAAAGGCAGCTGCACCAGCCACTCTAGATTTATTAGTAAATCCATTGAAAAAACATTTCCAATGAAATAAATCTCAGCCTGCTGACTTCCTCCTATTCTTTACTTATCCTCTTATTGATTTTTGTCTTGGAGATTTAAACCTCTCAATTTGTTTTATGAGACACTTGTCAAACAGATGACAAGAAAAAAGACAGTGCTGGATATTTTCCTTAGCAGTTTTAAGTAGAAATAAAGAGCATTTCTTTGAAATTAGTCTTGCTTGTGTGACATGGTAGGAAGAATATATCTGACAAGCCCTTTAGAAAGCTTTAGTTCTGTGCATAGAGAAAGCTCACTGGCTGCCACCAACACAGCTTTGCAGCAGCAGTGCCCCAGAAGCTCATTGACAAGTTTGACATGTAAACAAGCTGTTGCTAAAAATATTTAACCTAGGGGACCCTGGCTAGTTGAAGGGGCTAGTAATGGAATACAGATCCTTTCACCTCTAGGCATCTGTTCAAAGCTAGGCCGTCGACTGAAAGTCATTATCGACTGATGGCTGTTAGAGGAACAAATAGGTGGGCTCTGCTCTGTGTCTTGTGAGCAAATTCTTGCATTACTAAACCACATTGGCAATCTCAGCAGAAAGCTGGAGCCTGGCACCTTCTGGTGGCAGAGGCAGCTCCTCCCAGGAGGAGGATGTCCTCAGCTTGCTCCCTTCCAGCTCCATTCCAAGGACCTGGCAGCATTTGCTACTGCTGCTGTTTTGGAGGTGAGAGGAGATGGAGAGGTTCACCCATTCTGCCCCACAGCCCAAACCTGTCCCAGCTGATGAATGCCAGCAAGGTGCTGCTCTGAAACCGAGGCAGAATCGCAGAATCATAGAATCGCAGAATCATAGAATCATAGAATCATAGAATGGTTTGGGTTGGAAAGGACCTTAAGATCACCTAGTTCCAACCCCCCTGCCATGGGCAGGGACACCTCACACTAAACCATGTCACCCAAGGCTTCGTCCAACGTGGCCATGAGCACTGCCAGGGATGGAGCATTCACAACCTCCCTGGGCAACCCATTCCAGTGCCTCACCACCCGTACAGTAAAGAATTTCTTCCTTATATCCAATCTAAACTTCCCCTGTTTAGGTTTTAACCCATTACTCCTTGTCCTGTCACTACAGTCCCTAATGAAGAGTCCCTCCCCAGCATCCCTATAGGACCCCTTCAGATACTGGAAGGCTGCTACGAGGTCTCCACGCAGCCTTCTCTTCTCCAGGCTGAACAGCCCCAACTGCGGTGCCAGCTGCAGTATTTCTAAAGGTTCTCTAATTATGGTTTTCCAGGAGAAGAGGTCACACAGGCTAAAACACTGTCTCCACCGTTGAGGTCCACCTTCTGGATGGGGAATTTCTATCCCTCCACGTTTTAAATTGCTGTTACTTCACTCACCCTCCTTTGCAGTGCGCTGCGTGCTCCAACATGGCTCTGACAGCTTTCGGGCACTGCCACAGGAGGCGCTTTCCCTCCATTTTATCATTCAGCTTGAGGCTTGGCAGCAGCTCTGCACCTGAAGTCCTAAAGAGATTGCTCTGAAGAGGTGCAGATGGAGGCACAGAGGCGCTGCCGTTACCTGCACAGACCCCCGGACTCCCAATTCCAGTAACACTCGCTGACCGCCCTTTGTTTCCCCTAATGGCAGAGCCGCCCCTCACAGCACCCTGCCAAGGGAAGGCCGCGCACTGCGGGGCTGCCCGACGGCTCCCCTCAGGAGATAAAATGGCGCCTTCGTGAGGCGCCCTGCCTCTTCTCCCTCGCAGCCTCCCGGCAGCCATGCAGGCGGGAGAGGAGCTGGATTTCACCCCATGTCGCATACTTCATACTAAAATATATATATCTGTATATATAACGCAGGTGGGAGAGATTGCTCCCAGGCACTGGGGTTTGCATGGGATAAGGTCTGTGGGGTATGGAGCTCTCTCGGATATGGAGCTCTGTCATCCTGACAGGCAGGGAATGCAGTGAGAAACCATGCTGGGAGGAAAGAGATGGGAGACACTTGCCTGGTCTCTGCTTTCTAGGGAAATGTCTTCCCAGAATTTTTGTCCCAGTTGCTCCAGGTTGGCAGAGGATAGCGGGTGCTCTGAGAGGACTGAATGCCATGCAGCCTGCTGCGAGCCACTCCTGAGGGGAATTTAAGGTGAGACTCCTATAGCACACTTTATCATCACAGGTCTTTCTGCCCCTGAAACTGGGACAGTTTAAATCCATTGCTTTGTTTGTTTTTTTAATTATAAACCTGGGACCTCTTCTAGTTATTCATTTTGTTGTGAGGCTTTTCAGTTCCCATTTAAAAAGAGACATCTCGTCCCAGGAGCTCCAGGGCAAACTCCATCTCTACACACATGGAGACATGATGTTGCTAGGCAAGGTTGGTGTTAATTTAACTTTGGGAATAACAGGAACAATAGGACTGGAAGGGGCCTTCTGGTTCATCAGATGAGTCCTTTGTTGTTAGAGGCAGCTACGTTACATAATCCCTTTTGCAAATGAATCTGGTTCTATCCTAAAGCTACCCAGGTTATTTTTGTCCCTCTGTGTCCATGGGAAGGCCTTTGGAGAACCTCATTGCTGTAAGGACATCTCCATCTGAGGAACATCTTGCTCACCGCAGAGCATGATTCTTATTAATCTCAGACTGCACAGCCTGATATCCTATTGCATTCCATCTTTTTGCTAACACTGTAATGCCCAGGATATACGTGTCTTCCCTTGGAATACTCTGGCCCTCCACAGCCCTGCCCTTAATTTGTGTCATCGTCACAGTCCTAGGGCAGGATCATTCATCCTGTTTGATGTTTTCAGCAATCTCATGGTATTGCCTCAAGAAACTGCCAGTTCCATGCCAGCAGGCTCCCCCTCAGCACTCCTATCATTCCCTTTTTGAAGGGAATGCATTAGGCTGGAATACCCGAGTAAACCTATTTATTCCCATGCAGATTTTATTTTCAAATTCGGGGATATATCTGCAACTCCTGTTCTTCTGTCACATACTTTAAGGATATGTCCCATATCGGGTGAGAGCTTTGTGAACTCCAGCCCTGTGCACAACACCTGGATGTCACAGTTTACTATGGCTCTTGTTAGGGTCTCCACATAGGTTCTTTATAAGTTTCATTTTCTTTTGCTGTAACTCCATGTGGAGTTTTGGACACAATTAGCGTTGACCCTTTCTACAGGATTTATTTCCATCTGATCTCTTGTCAGGGCAGGACAGAATGACCTTAACTACTCATTGCAGAAAAATCCAGAGAATCTCCTGTTTTCTTGTATCCTGACTATCACATTGATTGTGTGAGAATTTCTGGGGTGGGGTGGGGGGGGTGGGTGGTGTCCTGTTACAAAGAGACCTGTTTCCCACCCTCTTTTTTGGCACTTCTTAGAAGGCCTCTCTGGAAGGGACTAATGGCCCTCTGGGACAAGACCTCTTCTGCCAATAACCATAGGTCAGAAGTTAAACTGAACAACGAAGAATGAAAGCCAGATAAAATGCACTATAAATCTTGACATTCTAATTGAGAACTGTCCAATGCAAACTGCAGTAGTGTGTCTGTTTTGCCTCAATGCCCTACAGGAGACCAGATCCCTCTTTCCTTAATGGCTCGAAGCATCCTACTGATTTTTACTGGGACTTCTCACTTGATTTAGACAAGCAAGATTTGGGCCTATGCAGTCTCTTTGAAAAGAGTTGAAGTTTGATAGTTAATGTAATTTCTCTTCTGCAGTTATAGGAGCAGAAAGGTGGGTTTGATTTTACATAAAGGCATGTTCAGCTCATCTTTCAGGCAGAACTGACATGACTGTGTATGTGTGTGATTTGCAGGTCAAAAAGATCTGTGGACAAGTACAGCTCATACAGAGAATTCTCATACGAGAATTTTTCTCATACAGAAAAAAAAAAAAGCCTGAACATAACATGTCATCTAGATGTTTTATAGATATTTTTGCTGTCTGAGGTAAATGGGGGAGGATTACACCTATTTTACAGACTGGTGAAATCAGCACATAAAGAATTTAAATGACTCACCCAAGATTACACAATAACTCAGTGGCAGACCCTAGCAGAGTCTGGAGTCCCAGTGCTTCCAAGCACACTAGCCTGACTTGTCGCCTTGGTCTTGTCATCTCTGTCATATGTACTTTGCTTTCAGACACTTAGAATACATACAGAGTCAAAAATAGAAGAACAGAGCTTGTTTATTCCACTGCATATATATTAAACATCAGTTTTGTGAATAGTTTTGTTGTTTACGTTTACATAGGAATTCTAATTATTGAAGCAATTAGTTCCAGACTTTCGTTATTGCCTTTCACAAAGCAGCATATAGATACTGGAACAAAACTACCACTACTACAAGCAGACTACTGCGTTTCCCATCCTGGCAGCTCAAGAGGACAATCCTGTAACATTAGAATAAACCAGGTTTTTTTTTAATGTTACACCTTGGAGCTCTACTCTGAATAGGAAACTTTTCCCCAAAGTATAGTTGAAATTGTATGTCTTTACCCTGAGCTAATTTTTTTTCAGCCTGGTTAACATCATAAAATGGATCATGAATATGTCCTTTGAAAATTATGCCAGTTGCCAGTTCTGTGTAGCTTATGCAGCCTGTATGAGCTGGTGCAAAGAAACTTGCTCCTACTGTATAGGCTGTGAGTGCCAGAGAAGAGAGAGAGGGTTAAGGAAGGGAAAATATATACTGGAATGTAGTGGCATAACAAATCTATCCCTAATCTTGAAAGCTCCATATTGCATGAGTAATGAAACTAAAGATGAATTATTACATCTTGCACTCATAATTTACAGGTATGTGTGTATTATCTTACAGGACAAATATTCCATTTATGCTTTGTGATGGTGTTTTTTCTCCATATAGGAAAATAAAAGTAGTATTAGTCACATGTCCGTAGCTTTGTCAGTGGCTGCAAAATGTTTTTCTTTCCAAGAGGAAAGCATACTGAATAATGCAACACTTACATTTAGGCTGCTTTTTCATGCATTGACACTTTCAAAATCTAAAACCAGTTCTTTTAATTTTAAGGGCTACAGTGTCTGCTCGCTTTATTCCTGCCCTTTATCATCTTACACACCATGTTCTTATAGACAAGGAGGGAAAAAAAAACATTCCAGTGTCTAATAAATCTGAAATCCATCAGGGGCCGCAAAGCGTTCGTTCTCCTTCCTTGGTTCAGATCGTGTTACAGTCAGCAGCACAACAAATGCACTTTGTGCACCAACACCAATGGATTAAGCATTTTCCTTCATTTTTCCAGGGCGGGAACTGATTCCATTTTTTTTACAGTTTTGAAAAATTTTAACAAAGGAAAGAGCTGCACAATTGATTTTCAGGCAAGGAGAGAGGAAAATTGTATTACAGCCCTTGTTTCTGAGCAGAATTTTAATATTGTTAAAGGATTTAAAAACTATTTTATGATACCAGCCTTCCCTAGCACGCAGTGCTCTGCATTTGCTTTCCTGAGCTAATTTATGAGAATCTCTCTGTGTGCAGGTCTCACTAGTCCTTTTTTTGTTCCTAGACCTTCTGCTGGCTGTTACAGTGAAGTTGCACATGCTGGGCTTTCTCAAATGGGGATTTTACTTTTGTTCTTTCCTGTTGCATTTCCCTAAAATAAAATATCTTTTTTGGAAAAAAAAAAAAGTATTTTATTACTATTTATGTAAGGAAATGCAATGTGAGGCCAACTTTTGGGGTGTGCTGGGACTGATTTTCTAGTACATGATCTCACAGGTATGAGAGATTTTATTTCTGTGGGCTCAGTTCACAGCTACGTACCTAAAAGTAGATTAATAGGTGTCACATGTTTTAATGGTTTCTTTCTGACCCTTGTAGGCAGACATTTTAGAAGAGTTGAGCCCTCAGCAAGGTGAGTTCTAGAAATCAGAAGCCAAATCTGCACCATTAACCCTTCTAAAATGATACTCTTTCAGATACCTGCATCTCATTTTCTGCTTCTGTGAAATGGAAGCATTAGTAACAAGCTAAATCATTATTAATGAAATGATCAGTGAATGATACCTACTAAATGCTTTTTAGCTTCGTGGATGCTAAGTAACATGAAAACAAATGAAGAATTTGTAGAACTCACATGTTAAGTTTAAAAATGTGCGTGGAGATAATCCTTCAAAACTTGTTCCACACAAAATGTTGCATTTATCAAATCCAGAGCAATTTGCAAACTGAATACTAACTAATGTGTATGGTTTTAAGGAAGAAGCAAGAATTAGCTAATGGAACGAGGGCCCTTTCACACGGCACAAGTTTTTAAGTCTACAGGAAGAAAAGTTGAAGAGCAAAGAAAAAGCAACAGGACAGATGTTGAAAGACAATCGTTCAAATGGCACATGCTGATCTGAATGATCTGCATTTGTGTGTACAGGATTTGGGGGTTTTACACTGACACATGAGCATTTTCGTACATACCAAAATTAATCACTTGCATATACACAAACTGGCAGATTTTAAACCACTGGCATTGAGTGGCATGCAGATTTGTGGGGCACAGCTGTAAGCAGGATCTCTGCAAGGATTCACTGTGATATTAACTTTGGTCTTGTCCTCAGCTTAACCGGAAGAGTCAGCAGAGCAAACACTCCATCCCATCCCATCATTGGCTTCTGTGCTGGATTAAACAAGGCTGGAATTCAGACCTCTCATAGCAGGTAAAAAGATACATGATGTCTTCCATGTTACTTCTGCCAAAGAGGGTTCTTTTTTCCCCCATATCACAAAGTCTGATGCTTTGAGTGTGCGGTGGACACCTGTGCATTGTAGAAGGGTATTTCTGCTGCACTCAGTTTTCATCAGGGGTAGCATATCAAATGTGAAAAACTGTAAATGGTTGCTGGTGTTTCAAAGCAGAAATTGTCGTTTGAAAAAAACGATGTTCCCAATGCTGGCATGAAATACTTGCCTGAAGAAAAAATGTTACGGTCCTTCAGAAATCATAAATGGTAACAGTGAGGTATCAGAGAGAGAAAAGCACTATGCAGATACCTCAAGCTAAAATATCTTGTGGCCACTCATTTCTTTGGGTGACCTTCAGTGTTATGCCAGCACTACCACTGCTTGATTTGTGAGGAGTCATCCATTTAAGCTAAAGAATGTGATCATATTTTAAAGCAGAAGCATCTATTTAGAGCTGCAGTCCCCAGTGAGTAAGTATTTCTTAAGAAACGGTTGAAACTGTCAGTATTTTAGGAAGGCTGGAGGTATTGCAGCCATTTCCTACCAGATGATGTGGCTCTAAGTGTGCAAGGTAATAGGACTTTTTTGAGCAGATTAGGTTAAATGCTAAACCTGACTTCATTAATGCTGACGGAAACACAGAGCTCTCTATTCTGTGCAAAATTATGTTTTGAAGGAAAACCTCCTTTTAAGCAAGAGTTCAGACTGTTAAATTTGATACTGTTGTAACATAACACATTTCAAAACTGAGTGTCAAGAAGTAGAAATGTTCCAGTCCTATAAGAGCAAATTCATAAATTTTGACATTATTGGCGGTCTTTGTTTCTGCTTTTTAAATGAATTTCCATCAGAAAACCTTGCGTGGGAAATAAATGTGGCAAACTCGCTCTCAAGGATCTTGAGGCAAGTAATTACTCAGTAATTTTTTTTAGGTTCCTTATTCTGATTAAATAGTGAATAAGTAATCATCATTTATCTATGGCCTGCTGCATTTTTGTTGTGCAGTACAAAACTGCGACAGCGAGCTCAGAAAGTAACCTTGTTGCCTTTGCTGTACTGGCACCCCTGATGATTCTCATACACTAACAGGGTGGTAATAAATAGAAATGTCTTTTGAATTACAAGTTCCATTGGAATCACAGGGGGAAGGACAGTGTTTGCCAAATTGAGGAGGACAAAACTGGCATGAAAGGAATTTTATGTTCAAGCTTCTCAGAGGGGATTAGAAGTACTTTCTTAATAGTGACTGAAAGGAAGCTGGAATGGTGTCATTGAACGTACAGACTTTGCCCTGCTAATGCACATACACAGAGTCACCACATACAGCAGCACAAGGAGCAAATGCATGAAGTTGCTGCAATGTTTGAGGAGGTTTTAAAATACATTTTTTTCATCCTTCATCTCCACATGCTAAATATATAATAAGATACCTTGTTTTCTTGCCCTGTAGACCCACATGACCAAAATGAGGGACATTAGTAAGTGTTAGAAAAAGTATTCAAGTGTGAAATGAATTTCTCAAACATTAATAAGTATTTCTAGAACCTCAGTTTCATAATTTGACAGTTCCACAGTTAATAAATCACAGCAAAAGGAAAGTGTGATAACAGCAGAGCAAAAGGAAGCCTGGATCTATGAAGTGCAACTGAGGGATAAGTGAAAGAAGTATGCTGATGACCCTGAGTTTACTTTTGGGTTTTCTGAGCTTTCACTCAATTAAATTCATTCCTCTCCTCTAAAGACCTATTATGTGCCTTTACCTACGTTCCTAACTGATTTTTCTTGTAATTCAGCTCCTTTGCCAAGTTATTTCCATGATTTAAGGAGCACTGATTAAAAAAAAAAAAAAAAAAGAAGTAATGCTGAGATGAAAGGAGCATCCACACTATATTGGAAAGGGTTTTCTAAAGAGGTGGGTTGATTTTAATTAACTTCCTGAATGAAACAATTCAGGTCTGGAGCTTGCAATCTCCAATAATCACTCTTTGGCCTCTGGATGAAAAAGGGAGTCAATTACACAAAACAATGCAACAAAAAGGCAGTCAATGGAAGGAAGTAGTTATGTGTATTACAGCAGTATACACATTAAGGGAGGCCCAGCATCTAGAGGCCCAAAATGAGATTAGTCCCCACTGCGGTAGACACTAAATACACATTGGAAGAGACAGCCCCCTCACTCCAAAGCTTATCTTCCCTGCAAGGCTAGTTCCTGTTTATATATTTTGAGCATTTCCCCTAATTCAAACTCTATATGCACACAAAAAGCTTTAACTTTACAGTGAGTTGTTGTCCCAGGACTGCAACAAACAAAAGCTTGTTACCCAACAACCATGTACCGATGTGACTGTTCTGCAATACAAACATTGCTTAGCATCACTCAGCTGCTCCTGCATCCCTCTTTTCCTCTATCCCCCTTTTTGTGTGTTCTGAAAAGAGCTGACCTAGACCACATTTTCTCTAGAAGGAATTAATACAAAAACCTAAGGAAGATCCCAAGACCTTCCAGTTAAGTAAGAAAGATCAATCAGAGAAAAAAAAAGTGGCTGAGAGCGAGAATGGCTTGTTAAAGTTCATGATAAGCAGATCTTTGTTAGCTCTTGCCACAACAGGGTTCTGGTCTCTACTGGGACCACTAGCTGCTGCCATAACTTATATAAGCCATGGTAGTACACAGGCTGGCAAGTTTGTGTGAAAAGGGAGAATCAAAGCAGCATACACATGGGAAAAAAAATTCAGCTGGAAAAATGAAAAATATTCCCAGGCCCTGCCCATCTCTGACAAAGATGGTTTCCCATCAAAGGGCCCCAGGATTTGATGTGTCACTGTAGCAGGCTTTCCAATTCCTGCAACTTCCCATAAATTTCGGAAGATTAGGATTAGAAGCTTTGAGTGTAGTTTAGGAGCTGTAGCTGTTACTTTGGTTTATTAGCTATTGAAATTACCTGCTGGGCATCTGCAGACTCAGTATGGTTTAAGGTTATGAAAAATCTCAGGTTCCTTTGTGTCCTGGGTTGGCAGAAGGGAACAACACAGTTTTCACCCAGGTAAAAGAGAAGCTGAACAGCTATCAAAGACCACAGTAACCAGGGAGAGACAACATGAACACAAATGAACTTGAAAACAGTGGGTTTGTTTTCTGTTGCATGACAGGTTGAGGGGTGCCATTGTTTTTAAAAGATAAAGGTAGACATTTTGCTGCTGTTATTTTTTTTCAAAAGTCGCATGAAGGGTCTCCCTGTATCCATCTGTTCTGCAGAGATAGTTCATCTTGTGTCCACTTGATTTCTTCTGTGTTACACGTACAGACACAAGCACAAGAAACCAGCATTAACCACAAAGCAGTGGGTTTAATATGCTGGATTGGTTTCTCCAGGAAACTAACGCAGACTTAAGAGTTTTGACGCCCTCCTTCAGAAAGTCACTTCCACTTTCCCAATAGACATACGAGTTTACCAGCCGTTGCTGTCTTTTGGCTTAGGCAGGACCTGAATATTTACTGTCAAACGTAATAAAAATGAAGGGAAATCATAGCAGAGCAAATCCAGAGACACAAGCCCAGTTGTCTCCTCTCAGCAGTTCACCTTTTACCCTCCTTCTGCTCCCCTGCAACAAAGCACCCTCACCCTTTGCAAATAGACTCTAAAGGCCACAGCCTATCAGTATCTGAATGAGAAGTACCCAGCAGAGTCAAGGAGTTTTTTGTCTCTCTTTGGTTTATATTTTCTGTAGAGTCCTGGTCTGAATTTAATACCATGCTCTGGCCAGCAATGCTTTAAGACAGATTTAATTCACAGCAGCATGACACACTCTCACTTCAGACATACGCCTATGCCACTGCACCTTCAACATACGCAGCAAAGCTCCTGGGCTTCTGCTGACCAGAGTGTAAGTAAGTCGTAAGGATTGTGCTAACTGCTCAGTTTTCTGTTGCTGGGAGAAAGAGAAAACCCTTGTGTTGGAGTTCAGAGTCTGAACTCTGTCACCTGTCAGTTCCACTGACACTAATGTGGTAATTCTGGGTTAGGATTTGGTTTAGAAAGGCCATCCTCAACTAAGCAAGCACATTGGTTTAAAAGGAAGCATATTCATGAAAGGTTGCCCTGGAGTGGTTGTTTTTACTGATATAATTAAGATCAGAATCTGAGCCACTGACTGTAAGCCCAGAGGACGATTAATGAATAGTTTAACCAGGGAAGTGGCCTCTGTGGTAAGAAAATGAAATTGGCATTTAAAAGTGAGATTTCTTTTACCACTCCTGGTGTATTTTTCCCTTTGTCAGCAGAATTAGTGAGTTAAAGAATAAGCAGAAATGGGCTACAGGAGGAGTAGGGAGGCTTCACGGCTCTGCTTTTATCAGAATGGCACATGTCCTGGAGCTTCATTCTGAATCACCTGATCTATGGGTTTAGCAGGAGAAAATTTGAGACACTTGGAAAATGAATGAAAGTGATCCTGAATGGGAGGAAGAAAAGCTTAAAGTAAATAGCTAAAGTCAATCTGTCGAAATGTCACATGTAAGGATGGCTCTGTTCTGCTTAATGACAGGAGAGCAAGAAAGGTGAGGGGGAGGAAGGGACCCTTTTGAAAGGCTGTTTTTCTAATGTACCTGTGTTTATTTTAAAAGCTTTTCAAGGAGGTAGGGAGGGAAGCTACTGTCTCTCAGTGATAAAAGTTGAGTGATTGAAGACACCATCTGGGGGCAAGCTGTTCTCTGTCTCTGTAGTTGCCCACAAAATTCCTGATATGCAGGTAAAGCAAACTCAGAAGAATGTGGCTGATGGGAAAAGACTAAGAATCAGGAGTCCTGGGCTTGATTTCTAGTTCTGATGCTGACTATATGTGGAGGCGAGTAACGTGAAAGTTCAGTGAAACCACCTATCTGGCAAGTGGGGAAAATAGTCTTTACTCCACTCATATGACAGGGGAGCAATGAGATTTAAGGAGTATCTGCCAAACAGATTGGTTTCCTGGTGAA